GAGAAGAGATATCACAGTAAAGTCTGCAGGTTGGCCAACAGAGTTCAGTCTTTGGGCTTTCCAGCAACAAAAGATGCCTTCAGTTGCCCCAGGGTTTTAGTCCAGTCTCCAGCAACAGCTAGACCTCCATGTAGGGAAACAGCCAGTAATTTTTTTACTTGCGGGAAAGAGAGATGTGACAGTTCTGCATCTGTATTCCCCCTTGTGGATCCTGGGTGAGACTCCAGATGAGATGGGAGAGATCCCTGACCCCTTCACAGGATATGTCACAGGGGTGTGGCTAGTCTGTTCAGCCTCCACCACTGCTCAAACACCTTATGACGGGGGGAACATGCAAATGGGCAGGTGCAGGTGCCAGGGCCAGCGCTTTTGGGCTTCGACCCCATGGTGGCATCTAGGGGTGTGTGCTTGTTACTCCTGAAGTCCCAGTGAGTGTGCTCCAGTGCTCTTTTAGCTCTGCTGTCCGTCAGGCCAGGCTAAGCCATCATATCCCCTGTGACCTGTACATATACATCCGGATGGTCTGAAGCAACCAAAGAACCACAAAAGAAGTGAAAATAGGCAATTCCTGCCTTAACTGATGACATTCCACCATTGTGATTTGTTCCTGCCCCACCCTAACTGATCAATTGACCTCATGATATTCCTTCTCCTAGACAATAAGTCTTATGATCTCCCCATCCTGCACCTTGTGACCCCAGTCCCTGCTTGCAAGAGATAACCACCTTTAACTGTAATTTTCCATTACCTACCCAAATCCTATAAAACTGCCCCACCTCATCTCCCTTTGCTGACTCCTTTTTCAGACTCAGTCTGCCTGCACCCAGGTGATTAAAAAGTTTTGTTGCTCACACAAAGCCTGTTTGGTGGTCTCTTCACATGGACTCACGTAATACTTGTTGCTGAAAATCCCAGGACGGGGGACCTCCCTAGGGAGATCAATCCCCTGTCCTCGCCCTCACTCTGTGAGGAGATCCACCTATGATCTCGGGTCCTCAGACCAGCCCGAGGAACATCTCACCAATTTTAAGATGGGTAAGCGGCCTCTTTTTATTCTCTTCTCCGACCTCTCTTGCTATCCCTCCACCTTTCAATCTCTCCCTTCCCTAATTTTGGTTCCTTTCCCTTTCTGGTAGAGACAGAGGAAACATGTTTTATCCATGAACTCAAAACTCTGGTGCCAGTCATCATCTCGGGAAGACAGCCTTCCCTTGGTGTCTAATCACTGCAGGGACGCCTGCCTGATTATTCACCCACATTCCAGAGGTATCTGATCACAGCGGGTATGCCTGCCTTGATCCTTCACCTTGGTGGCAAGTACCACCTCCCCTCTCTCCCTGTGTCTGCCCTCCCTTTTCTCTAAATTTACCTTTTTTCTCTGGGCAACCTTCCAGCCTCCATTCCTTCTTCTCCTCCCTTAGCCTGTGTTCTAAAAAACTTAAAACCTCTTCAACTCCCACCTGACCTAAAACCTAAGCATCTTATTTTCTTCTGCAACACCGCTTGGCCCCAATACAAACTTGATAACGGCTCTAAATGGCCAGAAAATGGCATTTTTGATTTCTCCATCCTATAAGACCTAGATAATTTTGGTCGAAACATAGGCAAATGGTATGAGGTGCCTTACATTCAGGCATTTTTCACACTTTGTTCCCTCCCTAGTCTCTGTTCCCAGTGCGACTCATCCCATATCTTCCTTCTTTCCCTCCTACCTGTCCCTTCAGTCCCAACCCCAAGCGTTGCTGAGTCTTTTGAATCTTCCTTTTCTACTGACCCATTTGACCTATCCCCTCCTCCCCATACTGCTCCTCCTCATGTCGCTCCCCACCAGGCTGAATCAGGCTCCAACTCTTCTTCAGCCTCTGCTCCCTGACCCTACAACCCTTCTCTCACCTCCCCTCTCCATACCCAGTCTGGCTTACAGTTTCATTCCATGACTAGCTCTCTCCCACCTGCCCAACAATTTCCTCCTAGAGAGGTGGCTGGAGCTGAAGGCATAGTCAGGGTACATGTGCCTTCTTCTCTATCAGACCTTTCCCAAATCAGCCAGAATTTAGGCTCTTTCTCATCAGACCACACGAAATATATACAGGAATTCCAATATCTGACTCTGCCCTATGATTTAACCTGGAGTAACTTAAATGTCATCCTAACTTTTACCCTCTCCCCAGATGAACAGGAAATAATTTTTTCTCTAGCCCAATCTCACACTGACAACTGCCAGCTTCATGAGCCAGGCCTCCAGGAAGATATTAGAGCATTTCCCCTCAAGGATCCGCAATGGAACTATCAGGCACATTCCCCAGGTATGGCTGGGCGAGATTACATGATTTCCTGCCTAGTTGAAGGGCTTGAAAAGGCAGCATACAAATCTGTTAATTATGGCAAACTTAAAGAAACTACCCAAGGATAAGATGAAAACCCATCCCAGCTCATGGTTCATTTGGCAGCAACCCTGAGATGCTTTACAGCCTTGGACCCAGAAGGGCCAGAAGGTCATCTTATTCTCAATATGCATTTTATCACTCAGTCTGCTCCTGACATTAGAAAGAAACTCCAAAAGATAGATTCTGGACCTCAAACCCCACAACAGGATTTAATTAACCTTGCCTTCAAGGTGTATAATAATAGAAAAGAGGCAGCCAAGTGGCAACATATTTCTGAGTTGCAATTATTTGCCTCTTCTGTGAGAGAAACCCCAGCCACATCTCCAGCACACAAGAACTTCAAAACACCTAAACCACAGCAGCCAGGTGTTCCTCCAGGACCTCCTCCCTCAGGGTCTTGCTTCAAGTGCTGGAAATCTGGCCACTGGGCCAAGGAATGCCTACAGCCCGGATTCCTCCTAAGCCATGTCCCATCTGTGCAGGACCCCACTGGAAATCAGACTGTCCAACTCACCTGGCAGCCACTCCCAGAGCGCCTGGAGCTCTGGACCAAGGCTCTCTGACTGACTCTTTCCCAGATCTTCTCGGCTTAGCAGCTGAAGACTGATGCTGCCTGATCGCCTCAGAGGCCCCCTGGACCATCATAGATACTGAGCTTCGGGTAACTCTCATAGTGGAGGGTAAGTCCATCCCCTTTTTAATCGATACAGGGTTACCCACTCCACATTACCTTCTTTTCAAGGGCCTGTTTCTCTTGCCCCCATAACTGTTGTGGGTATTAATGGCCAGGCTTCTAAACCTCTTAAAACTCCCCAACTTTGGTGCCAATTTGGACAACATTCTTTTATGCACTCCTTTTTAGTTATCCCCACCTGCCCAGTTCCCTTATTAGGTTGAGACATTTTAACAAAATTTTCCACTACCCTGACTATTCCTGGACTACAGCCACATCTCATTGCCTCTATTCTTCCCAACCCAAAGCCTCCTTCATGTCTTCCTCTTATATTCCCCCACCTTAATCCACAAGTATGGGACACCTCTACTCCCTCCCTGGCAACTGAACTGATCACACGCCCATTACTATACCATTAAAACCTAATTACCCTTACCCCGCTCAATGCCAGTATCAGTATGCCATCCCACAACAGGCTTCAAGGGGACTAAAGCCTGTTATCACTTGCCTGCTACAGCATGCGCTTCTAAAGCCTATAAACTCTCCTTACAATTCCCCCATTTTACTTGTCCAAAAACTGGACAAGTCTTACAGGTTAGTTCTGGATCTGTGCCTTATCAACCAAATTGTTTTGCCTATCCACCCTGTGGTACACTCTTTTGTCCTCAATACACCTGTACACTCTTTTGTCCTCAATACCTTCTTCCACAACTCACCATTCTGTTCTTGATCTTAAAGATGCTTTTTTCACTATTTCCCTGCACCCCTCATCCCAGCCTCTCTAATGACTTCTCTGCTAGCATTACAGATATATCACAAACTTTATCTGTCCTCCAAGCCCAGGTTGACTTTTTAGCTGCAGTTGTCCTCCAGAACCACCGAGGCCTCAATTTATCACTGCTGAAAAAGGAGGACTCTGTGTTTTTCTTAATGAAGAGTGTTGTTTTTACTTAAATCAACTGGACCTGGTATGTGATAATATCAAAAAACTCAAAGACAAAGCTCAAAAACTTGCTAATCAGGCAACTAATTACACTAGACCCACCTGGCCACTCTCTAACTGGGTATCCTGGCTTCTTCCAATCCTTAGCTCTAATACCTATCTTCTTCCTTCCCTTATTCAGGCCTTGTGTCTTCCAATTAGTCTCTCAATTCCTACAAAATCGCATTCAGGCCATCACCAATCATTCTATATGACAAATGCTCCTTCTAACAACCCCACAATATCACTCCTACCCCAAAATCTTTCTTCAGTTTAATCTCTCCCACTCTAGGTTCCCTTGCCACCCCAATCCTGCTCAAAGCATCCCTGAGAAACATCGCCCATTATCTCTCCATACCACCCCCCAAAATTTTTGCTGCCCCAACACTTCACCACTATTTTGTTTTGTTTTTCTTATTAATATAAGAAGACAGGAATGTCAGGCCTCTGAGCTCAAGCTAAGCCATCATATTCCCCTGTGACCTGCACGTATACATCCAAATGGCCTGAAGCAACTGAAGAACTACAAAAGAAATGAAAATAGCCTTAACTGATGACATTCCACCATTGCAATTTGTTCCTGCCCCACCCTAGCTGATCAATTGATCTCGTGACATTCCTTCTCCTGGACAATGAGTCTCATGATCTCCCCACCCTGTACCTTGTGATCCCAGTCCCTGCCTGCAAGAGATAACCACCTTTAACTGTAATTTTCCATTACCTACCCAAATCCTATAAAACTGTCCACCCTTATCTCCCTTTGCTGACTCCTTTTTTGGACTCAGTCTGCTTGAACCCAGGTGATTAAAAAGTTTTATTGCTCACACAAATTCTGTTTGGTGGTCTCTTCACATGGACTCATGTAACACTGTTCATAAGTGACTTGTTAACCAATCAGTACCCTCTTGGTAACTGGGTTCTTGTCTGGCATCCAGGAAGAATCAGGTTATACTCAGACTTGAAGGATAGTGAATGCAGGGATTTTATTGAATGATGGAGGTGGCTCTCAGTGGGATGGATGGGGAGCTGGAGAGGAGATAGAGTGAAAAGATGATCTTCCCCTGGAGTTTGGCCATCCAGCAGCCAATCTCCTCTCCAACTGTCCCCACCTGAACTCCTCTTGACACTCAGATGCTCCTTCTCTTCTCTCCTTCTCTGCCGCTCAGTTCTGCCACTCTTCTGCTCTTCTGTTCGTTCATCTGCTCTTGGAGCCCAGGATTTGGGGTTTATGTGGGTACAAGATAGATGGGCATGGCAGGCCAAAAGGCAACCTTTGGGCCAAAAACAGGACTGCCTGTTCCCATTTAGGGCCTTGGGTTTCCAGGCTTGAGGGTGGGGCCCTTGCCAGGGTGTTGTCTTCTTCTATCCAGTATTTCCATCTCCTGCCTGGATCAATATTATAAAATATTTTTAAGATGAAAATCATTTTCTGTAGAGTGAAAAGTTACATAAAGTCAGCAGATAAATGCTAGGTTTATATTACAGAAAATGAAGCCTATCTTTAAGAGACATGGTGTTTTTCACAAAGTGGTAAGTCTGAGCAATCCCACAGCAGAATGCGTAAAGAATATGAATAGAAGATTTACAGATGAGCAAATCCAAATGGCCACCAAACATATACAAAGATGGTTAGATGTATTAGTAGACAAGAACATGAAATGAACAATATTTTATTTTACATTCATAAATAGGTCAATGCAAGGAAAGTAATGCAATCAGACATTGCTGGTGGAAGTGTGCTGGGTGTGCATCTTTAGAAAGCAATTGGGCAATATCTGTTAAGCACCTGCCACAATCAGAGGTTGCATAGATATGAATGTAAGTATAGATAGCCTTTATTGTAACATCACTCATTTGATCAATAAATAAATAAACCCAGAATTGTCTATCAGTGGAAGAATGGTTGAAAAAAATACAGTATAGCCACACAATGGAAATTATACATTCTGAATTAGAGCAGGACTGACCAGTTGCCTTGGAAGAGTTTCCACAAAGTATTGTTGAGTGAGAAGCAAGATTTTGAGAAATACATGCAATATGATTCCATTTTTGAAAAAATGAGCAATGATAAGGAAACTGCATATATGCATATACATATATATATATGAATGTCTCCAGCTCTGTTATTATTTGAGCATTGATGAAAATATTATATTCATGGAAACCTGGTTATCATGGATTCTTGAGGGACTGCAATGGATAAAGTGGAGTTGAAATGGGAGAAGGGGTGGGGGAAATCCAGAAAAAAAATTAAAAATAGAGAAAGTAAGAATAATTATCTATAATATGCTTGCAATTACACACATATGAAAAATTATAAATGTGCACACATATACTCTTTCACATGGAAATTTCAAGGCAGGATCCTGGAGGATGGAGGATGGTGTCAGCATAGGTTCAGGCTGAAGCTGCAGCTGCTCACAGTCCAGGCTCCTGTCATCACAGGAGTCAAAGTGCACAAGGGAAGCCTTGCACAAGCCCCGTGAGGGCCAGAGCTTCATTGATCACTTGAACTCAGAATTCACCACTTATTCATTAACCAGACCAGCCCAAGAAGGATGCTCAGACATGCCACATTATCTGTGGGGGCGGGAGTGGGTGGAGTGGAAAGTCTTTTCTCTTCTCCTCCTTATTTTCTTCCTTTTTTTCTTTTAAATGCAACTAGGTGAAAGAATAATCAACCTTTTAAAGTACCTGAAGCCCTCCCTTTCTCTCTCTTTATTTACCTTAGGGCACAACAGTTTGTTGCAGAGAAACAATTAGAAATCTCGAGTAGGGATTTTGAAGTTCAAACCTTCCTGTTGACATTTATACAATATGGATAAAGAGGACGAGGTATGCACTGACATGGAAACACACACTTGACATGTTGATAAGTTTAAAAAATCAGGTGGCATAACAGTATGTATATAGACTAATTTGAGGACAAACTCGGACATTTTTCCTTCTCTTGCCCAAATTCCTATCTAAGGGGCTTGGGGAGTCATGCCCCACAAACCATAAAGCCTCATCCGAGGGGATTTAGTTAACCCTATATAACACAGCTTACTTTCCAACCCGACTCTGACATAACATCACATGACAGATAAAGAAGGAACTCAAAATATTTTAACCTCAAATATGTTTATTTGCCATATCTTGAAATTGCCCTGCAAAGTTGCCTCTTGTGGGGAAAAATCTACATTATGTACAGAATCCCCTTTCCCTTCTCTGAGTCTTTTTCCTGATCCAGAAGACAATCAACTAAGAGTCTGATATATTTTTAAATCTGTAAGAAACATGTATAATCTATTATCTCTGAAGCCTGCTACTTGGAGGCCTCATCTGCATAATAAGAAACTTGGTCTCCACAATTCCTTTCTATTGATTCCAGGTCTTTGGATAAACTCTTTCAACCAGTTGTCAATCAGATAATATTTGAATCTGCCTATAACCTGTAAGCCTCCTGCCCACTTCCAGTTGTTCCACCTTTCCACACAGAGCCAATGTACCTCATACATGTATAGATTAATGTCTTATGTCCCCCTAAAATGTATAAAACCTAGCTGTGGCCCAACCACCGTGGGCACATGTTCTCAGGGTCTCCTGAGGGCTGCATCATGGGCCATGGTCACTTGGATTTGGCTCAGAATAAATATCTTCAAATACTTTACAGTGTTTGATTCTTATTCTTTTCTACAGACAAATTCCATTTTAAATATATTTCCTGACATTTTATTATGAAAAATTTCAGACAGACAGAAAAGTTGAAAGAATACATCAAACTCTTGTATATCTGTGTATCCCCTACCTCAATACAATTGTCAAAATATTGTCATATTTATTCTCTATCTACCTATGCTTTACAATGTGGTTGTAAATTGCAGACATCATGGTGCTTCACTCTTAAATACTTAAGTCTGCATCTTCTGAGAAGAAAGATAAACTCCTACAAGACACAATGTCATTGTCACAACCAATAAAATTAACAATAATTCCATATATCTACTATCCCATTCCTATTTAAATTTCTTCAGTTGTCCTAAGAATGCCTTTGTAGCTTTTTCTTGAAGTAGGATCTAGTCTGTGTTCACACAAAGCATTTGGTTATTAGGCCTTTTGGTCTCTGTTAGTCTAGAATAGTTGCCTTGCTTTTCTTAAAAAAAAAAAAAAGTTTTTAATGGCATTGACTTCTTAAGAAGGCCACGTCAGTTTTCTTGTAAAATGTTTCACATTCTAACTGACCTTTCTTTAATAAGGTATTTAACTTTTTCCTATATGCCCTTCCAACCTCCCATTCTCTTGTAAACTGAAAATTAGGTGTTGGGGCTTAACTGAGTTCAGTGTAAAAGTTGCCCCACTATCAATAATAATGCTACCAAATGTGGACACTCAAGATAGTGGCTAGTAGAGCTCCCCATTGAGAAAGTACAATATTCTCTTGTATATCTTGGTAAAGGATACCCAGGCAGGGCATTGGTAAATCAAGTTTAGCCTAAAGTCACTTCCTTACATATTTTAAGTTCAGCCTAAAGGTTTATCTGTACATGGTAAACTATAACCTAAATGGAGATGTAGTTAGACTATAGCCCACTTTTATGCCAATCACTGAGTTTTGGCCAACTGAAGCAGGCCAACTGTTCAGACAGTGTTCAGATGAGGCAAATGCCAAGCTATAACCAATCCTGCTGTTTCTGTACCTCATTTCCATTTTCTATATATCATCTTCCTTCTTCTGTCTGTAAATCATCTTCTACCTCGTGGCTTCACTGGAGTCTTTGAGCCTACTGTAACTTGGAAGGCAGGCTGCCTGATTCGTGAATAATTCTTTGGTCAATTAAACTCTATAAAATTTAATTTGGCTAAAGTTTCCCTTTTAACAGATGGTGTCAGAAGTGAGATCCAAAGTAGAACTTCTGGTGACCCCCAGGAGCATCAAGTGGCCAAGCAAGGTTCCCTCCAGGCCCATTGTGTTCATTGTTCTCTAGCAGTGACTGGGGATCCTGGTAAGTTCTCTCCAGGATTCTGAAGCTCCATGGATTTGTGTTCTCAGCTCTTCAAGTTTCTTTGAGCAAATTTATGATCCAAACTGTGTTTGGAAGGCATGACAGAAACTGAACTGGATTCAGAATAGGATTGGATTCAATAATTAACTGACTTGGATCTAGTTAGCAGTTTATAAGAGACCTCTAACTGGGCCAGAAAGAAACCAGTAGTAAATGGCAATGCTGTAGGAGGTGTAAACTTTGACTTTTGGAAATTGACGGGGATTTTTGTTTCTTTCTTCTTGCATTCTTCAGTAAGGAAAAATCATTGGCTAAGTTGATCAAGAGGGCCTGAGAGCCAAAGTCAATGTTTGAGGTAAAAATGGGATCCTTAATTTCTGAAGAACTGAGTACCTTCTGGCTTATCGATGGATAAGTATTAGGCCCTGGAAGCAACAAAGACTTACAGAAATTATGAAATTTTATTAAAGATAAGTTACAGTAGAATAATCCAAATGAACAACGCTGCACTTGAAGAAGTGCATTTGAATATGAGGGCTTTCAAATTAGTCTCATCTAGGGATGCCTATTGATATGCACAAGCTTCTAAAGAGACTTTAATATTTTAAAAGGCTCTTTATAAAAGGCAAATAAAAAGCTTAGGTGACTAATTGATAAGAAAAATTGAATCTGCTGATCTTTTAGTTTTGTCACCATCTTGCCCTAACAGCAAAACGAAAGCTAGCCTAGATAAAGTATTTATAAAAGGAGTCTTCTTTTTCAGATCTATCCCTGCTGAGTCCAGGCATAAAGGATGCTTTCTTTGCCCTATTTTTTAATGGAGTCCACTGTGAACTCAGTAATTTTAGCCAAGAAACAGTAGCTAAGTTAAACAGAATACCTATTTAACTAAAATACACCTTTCTGGAATTTGATTGGCTAACCTGAAACCCTTTTGTAAAAGAAATGTACACCTATTAAGGAATCTCCGTTTTTAAGGATGTCTGCCTATGTACATTAGAAACTTTTACCATTATTTTAAATTTACATAATAAATCATACTTTTGTCTAAAGTGCTTTTCTGGCCATCTTGTCTTCACTGAACTTTTATGTGAGCACCATTTTTTTTCATTGATTTGAGCAAATGATGACACAACTGGTTTGTAAAACTACTAACCCAAGCAGGACAAAAATTAATTGAATACCAAGAAAATCCTTTGCCAGATTTTCATGCTAAATCAGCCAGTACTAAAATTGTTTGGACATACTATTTGAATAAACTCTATGGACCAAGTCGAATTACCTATGATAACCCATCAGTTATCAGTACTATGCACCTAAATAGGAGAAAAAAATGGTATTTAAGAGGACATAAGTCCAATGCTAAATGTGGACTCATGGAGAACCCAGATAGCCACCTTG